TTCAAAACCCAACTCTCATGCCATTAGAAAGAGGATCATGAAAAACCTATAAAAAAATGGTTCATGAAATTTTAGTTCACTCATAAAGCTAAAGTCCGCCTGCTCTAGCAAAAAATGCCCACTGTGACGTGGGATAACATATATCTCGCATGTACTCGACGTGGCTATTAGAAAAACAGATTTTTGTCTTTGACCAAGTACTTTCAAAACAGACGAAAATTCTGTGGTATTTTCGCTGCAAAAATACTTTTCCGTGAAAGTATCATGCAAAAGTTTTTCTGGTTAACACCTGACATAATAAAACTCAGCCCGATGTACGAAATATGTTTTTGTAAGCAACTTAGTTTTTGAAGTTTTCTTTCTGAATAGTACAATAGTTGTGCCGTTCCCTCATATATATATATATGAGTGATTTGCGCTGCCATTGTACCATTCGTATCCGACATGTAAAAAAGCTATAACTTTTTTGTTAGTGAATGAATCTTAGCGAAATTTTTATATGTTATTTATCTAAACTATGCTCTCTACCACTGAAAATATTAACTCAAAGTTACAAGTCTACTTGGACGGCCATTCGACAATTACTAATTGGTCTTATTCAAAATAAAAAGAATAAAATAATAAAACAATTAAATATTATTAGTGATTCACCATCCAGTCAGTATCGTAATAGGACCACGATATATTTTCTGAAACGTTACTCAATGTCTGAGAATTTAGTTATGCGTTGGATATTTCTTGAAAGTGGCCATGGAAAGGGGGTGGCTGATGGGATCGGTGCTTGATCGCCGGTGAAACGAATGTTCGATGATATTATACGTTTTCATCCAGATGAAACATATAAATATGCTGGTGAATTGATGCGTAATGTACAAAATTCTACAAGTATTCGATTTTATTTGTATGCTAAAGAAGATATTGATGCTATTCGACAACAAATACCATTATTAACAAGTGTAAGAGGAACATCACTCTTCCACGAAATTATAGCTCATCCAGATGGAAAAATATTTGCTAAGTCGAAATTGGACGATAAAGAAAAATTAATAAAAACCAATTTTTGAACAGTAAATAACTAATAATTGTACATACATAAAAGAATAAACAGTTTTAACACTAAACAATGAACAAGCTTAATGCTTTTTAAAGTGTTACTATTTTTATCTGCTAAATAGTATTTTCTATCTAATTTAAACTAAGTTTATTAAACAACAAATCGAGCTATGCTCATTACATGTTGTGACAATTTGATCAAAAGAGAAATACAGTTAATTGCTAAAAAGAGAAGAGAAAGAATAGCTGATTTTTCATCTGCTCGCTAACATGTTGAGTTTTTGACCGTTTGTACTGTTGTTATTATTGTTGAATAATTATTCTTTGTTGTCTTTTAATAATAACTTGAAATCATGATTGTCGTTCAGATTGCCCCTGAGCTGAAGGAAAGATTTTAGAGCACAACTTACGAGGAAACGTTCCCAACTGATCAATCGCTTTCGAGTCAAAACCTAGTGGACTATACCCTAGTGATTGTACTCAAGTGTGAGTACTCAAAAAGTACTCTGATAGAAAAACCGGACGAGTACTCATACGTACTCACACATTTTTTTACTCACTGAGTACTCACATGAGTGAGTAACAAGTACTCTGAGTACGACTTTGAGTACTCATGCTTGGGTATTGTTGAGTACTCATACCACTTTCGGCAAAATACTCATGAGTATTGTTCATCGATATTTTCATACAGAGGAGT